TGATCGCCTGTTAGCCTCTCGGTCAGCTACAATAAAGAAAAACAAGACCAAATTATGAGTACAGAGTTATGTGGGCCAAATCCCAGCAAGTCGGCTACTTGCCCTCTCCTGAGTGTGCCTGGCTCCTTCAGGCTCCAGCTTCATCCTGATTCCAAGGCTGTGGCCATTATTATGAGTAGCACCTGGATTAGAGAAAGGTAAAGTGAAATGGCATTCCTGTGACTGCAGTGGACGCCCTTGTGTGCTGTAAGACGTGTGAATGCCTCTACTTGGCTTCTAAAAGGCCTTGGGTGGGGGGCTCAAATAAACACCCTTTCTCACCCTGCTGCCTTCAAAACCACCCCCCCAACAATAACTCCTAACTGGATATCTACTCAGCCTCCCTCTCCTAGTCACACGCCTCAACTCACCTGAAGCTTTAATCTCAAACATCATCTTGGACACTGGGCAGATCCCTCTTGTGACACGATGCATCTGCTGAAAAAAGTGTTGCAGTTGACACAACCTGGAGTCACTGGAAGCTGCAATCCTCCAAAAAAAAAAATGCAAAATAAAATAAGAACAAAAACAGAAATTAAAAACGTGCTTTACCACCCCTAAACACAAAACCCAAAATTGTGAACTTAAATACTCCCTGTATTCCATGCTGTTTTCTTCACAGTATCTTCAAAGCCTCTGTTGCTTTAGATGCCCAGAAACACCTGCTGAAAACAAGCTGAAATAAGCTGAAAAAGCCTCTTACCTGAAATGAGAGGAGAGCTCTGATCCCAACACATCCCAGGGGGGGAATGAAGGCCCTGAGCAAAGGCTGGGGTTAATATACCCCTGATGGTGCCCGCCTCTCGTTCCCATGGCACCCAGGAAAAGGGAGGGGGCGAATCCCACCGGGTATGAAAGCCCTCAGAGTAGTTGCAGCTGTTTGGCTCCTCTGACTCAAGTTCAAGGGGTGCAAAGGGCTTGTTATAGAAGAAAACTCTTCAGAAAAATAACAGCGCTTTCTTTTTTGCAACAACTACTTGCAGCAGAAGAACAGAAAACTGGTAAGATGTAAAGCTTTGTGTTTAGGAGCATTGCTAGATAAATTTGGTACTTTGCTGTTAACTTATATAATTATTCCTTGATGATTAGTAAGTCGTACATCATGTGTGGCTAAGTAGGGTGGAGAAGAATACTAATGATGTACATAGTCTAAGTCTCCTTGAGACTCCTAATTAGGCCTATTGACATTATAAACCAAAATAAGAAAAAAAACTCTTTTGGGCAGCGTAAGGGTTAAGTACATGCTAGGCTCCCCCTTCTCAGAGATAGCTGATCCAAAGGCACAGAAAGAAGTGCCCAGAAATGAATATTTAAATACTTAAAATGCTGAAAAAGACAGAGCTTCCTTCAAGTGAACCTGTAAAAATGAGAAACTGGGGTAATTATCTTCACTGAAACTGATAAAATGGCAAATAAACCAATTCTGCTCTTTAATTTATTCTCCAAAAATATTGTGAAAATAAGGGTTCTCCTCAATTTAAATCCCTCCAGCAAAGAAAAAAAGATAATTTTTTCCCTCAATCAAAACCCTTAACAAGGAGGGACAGCTGGGGAAGGTTTGCAGGAGGCACTTAAGACTCACAAAGCAGTCTGACTTTGCAGTGGTGGCAGCTTGGGTCTGGGAGACATCCGGCACAATGACCAATTTTCAGTATGCAGCCGGCCGCTCTGGGCCACAGGCCCCTGAACACCAGTGCTGGCCCTTTTCCCTGGCAAACAAAACTAACTACCCCAGTTTCCTGATGGTAGATTGCAGGAGACACTTGGCACTGTCAAAGCAGCCCGAGTTGGTACTGGTGTCAGCTTGGGTCGGGGAAGCATCCTGTGTATTGCAGAATTTCAGGAGGCAGCCATCCACTCCAAGCCACAGGCCCCTGAACAGCAACACCGGCCCTTTTCCTTTTGGCCCCCCAGCCCTCAGGCTCTGTCACCCTCAAGCCCCCCCCCCCCCCCCCCCCCCCCCACTATGCCCCTCAAGGCCCCTCTTAAGTGCCCCTCAGCTCTTTGTGTCACCCTTACCCTCTCCTTTGCTCCTCAGCCCCCAGCTTCTTGGTGTCACCTTCCAACTGCCCCTGCCACCCTCAGCATGTCTGCGTGTCACCCACTGTCCCCTCTCCCTGCTCCTCCCTCAGCTCCCAGCCTCTGCCACCCTCAAGCCTTGGGGTAACTGTCTGGATCTGCTGGAAGGGTTCTGGTGCTGTCCCACCATGAGTGTTACACCTGTACCCTAACCCTACCTGGTACCCAGACCCCTAACCCTTAAAGTGCTGAAAAACTCAGAGCTTCCTTCAAGTGAACCCCTTAACACGAGGAAATGGCGCGGTTTTTCCTTGGAGCTTTGTTCCGTGCCCAGGTGCGACCGAGCACGTTCCAACCATCCTTCCTTGAGAGATCCCCCTGGGAACCGCCCCCCCACAGCAGCTCTGGTGTGCCCAGGTAACCCCCACCGACAGGCCCCAGCAGCAACCGGCGCCTCCGCACCGGTCAGATGGCGGGTTAGGCACGGCTTGGGGCGCGGGGGAAACGGCAGTGTTATTTCCGAGGAGAAGCGGCAGTTTTATTCCCGAGGAGAGGCGCGATCACCAGAGCGGGCAGCCGCCATGTCCCCCCCCCCCTTGCTGCCGTGACACTGCCGTAAAGGGCCGAGCCAAGCCCGCCGCGCCGGCCGCGCCGCCGTAAAGCGCGGCGGAAGATGGCGGCGGTGACGGTGTGGGAGCCGCGGGCTGGGCCGGGCCCCGCCGGGCCGCACCGGGAATGGACGGCGGAGCCCGTCAGCACCGGCGTGAGTGCGGCGGGGGGACACTCCTGGAGGGCTGCGGAGTCGCCTTGGGGACGTTATGGGCCAGGAGAAGCGTCGTGGGGCGGAGGGGGCGCGCTGCGGGGCAGAGGGTCTCCGGTGTGCGGCTGCGGGGGTAATTGGGGCTGGGGGAGCAGAGCGCCCTGAGGAGTGGGGGAAGGGGAATGTGGGAGCAGAGGGAACTCCCTAGAGAGGGGGGCACGGGGTGGTTCCTCTGCGGAGGATGGAGGGTGGTTCCTCTGGGAATTGGGGGTGGGGGAGCAGAGCTCCCTGAGGAGTGTGGAAAGGAGAATCTGGGTCAGAGGGACCCCCCTGGAGAGGGGGGCACAGGGGGGTTCGTCTGGAGAGGGGAGAACTGCTGTGGGGCCGGGAGTTCTTTGGGATGACGATTTCTGTGGGGCACGGGTTGGTTAGTGTGCGGCAGGGCTGGATCTGCTGTGGGGCAGGGGGTTTCTCTGGGGCTGGGGGTCTCAGCGCAGCCCCTTCCTTCCCCTCCCCTCTCCCCAGACCACCATCATGGCCGTGGAGTTCGATGGAGGTGTCGTGATAGGGGCCGACTCCAGAACCACCACCGGGTGAGCGCTGTGACGTAATCAGTGGCGTCACGAGGGCCTGGGACCGCATCATGGGGCTATCGCTCTTGTCAGGGTGTCACTGTGATGCCACCTTGGGTGGCTCTCCTGGGCCTGTCGCTGTGGTGCCACCTACAGCAGCTGGGTGGCTCTCCTGATGACACCACCCCCCGTGTCCCCAGGGCCTACATCGCCAACCGTGTGACAGACAAACTGACGCCCGTCCACGACCGCATCTTCTGCTGCCGCTCGGGCTCGGCGGCCGACACGCAGGCGGTGGCCGATGCCGTGGCCTACCAGCTGGCCTTCCACAGGTACCCCCGTGGGTCCCGGGGCACGGGGCAGGGCCGGGGGGCCCGGGGGAGGCGGCCCCAGCCCCACTCCCGGCCCTGCCCCGCAGCGTGGAGCTGGAGGAGCCACCGCGGGTGCGCACGGCTGCGCGCCTCTTCCAGCAGAGCTGCTACCGCTACCGCGAGGAGCTGAGCGCCGGCATCATTGTGGCAGGCTGGGACCCGCGCCGGGGGGGACAGGTGGGCTGCCTTTGCTGTGTGTTCCTTTTCTGCCCCAGCATGTCCCCTTTTCTGCCCTGCAGTATTCCCCTTTCTGCCCTGGAATGTCGTTTTTTTCCACCCTGTAGGGCCCCCTTCTGCCCCATAACCCCATGTTTTCCCTACAGCTCCCCCTCCTTTCTGCCCCACAGCCCCTTCCTTTGCCCCACAGCACCTTAGAGCCCCCCCTGTGCCCCCCAGGTGTACGTGGTGCCCATGGGGGGGCTCCTCCTGCGCCAGCCCTTCGCCGTGGGGGGCTCAGGCAGCTCCTACATCTATGGATTCCTGGATGCTACGTTCCAGCCTGGCATGAGCCGCTCCCAGTGCCAGGAATTCGTCGCCCGCGGTGGGTTTTGGGGCATTTTGGGGAATTTGGATATGGGGAAGGGTCCTGAGAGGGGGCCTGGGGTCCTGGAAGGGCATTTGGGGGCACAGAGGAGTTTGGCTGGCATTAAGGCATTTGGGCTTGTCCTGGGAGGGAATTTTGGGGACATGGAGGGTTTGGGGGACCCTGAAAGAGGATTTGGCTGGCACTGAGGGGTTTGGGCTTGTCCTGGGAGAGGATTTCGGGGACATGGAGGGTTTGGGGGACCCTGGAAGGGGATTTTGGGGCAGTGCTGAGGGGATTTTGGGGATATGGGGGGTTTGGGGGACCCTGGAAGGGGATTTGGGGGCAGTGCTGAGGGGATTTTGGGGATATGGGGGGTTTGGGGGACCCTGGAAGGGGATTTGGGGGCAGGGGTGGTTTGGGGGGTGCTGACCTCTGCTCCCCCAGCCCTGGCCCTGGCGATGGTGAGGGATGGCTCCAGCGGGGGTGTCATCAGGCTGGCAGCCATCACGGAGGAGGGGGTGGAACGGACAGTCCTGGCTGGATCAGACCTGCCCTGGGGTGATGGTGGCCCCGCTGTGTGAGGGTGAGCCCGCCCCAGGACCCCCCAGTTTGGTGTGGGGACACAATAAACAGCTCTGCTGGATGTTGCTGGGGTGTGCCTTTGGGGTCCCCTGCTGTCAGCCTGTTCCTGGCAGAGAAAAATCACCCCCCAGTGTCTGTGGGTCTTGCTTTAATTATATGATCACGATCCATGATTCGTTAACGAAGCACAGGGTGGATGGGGAGGGAGGGGGGAAATTTCGGGGGGCTCCTGCCCCACACTGTGACCTTGATATTGGCTGGTAACAAAACCCCCAGAGGGGTGGGAAAGGGGAGCACAGGGGGAGGGCACCCTGCAGTCCTTAGAGAGGGCTGCCCCACAGGGACAAGGCATCCCCTGGTGTCCCCATGGGAGGGATCCAGCACCTCTGCATCAGGTCCAGGGCCCCTTCACAGGGCCCCAGGGATCCCTACAGCCCCAAGGAGTGGGTCCTGCACCCCTATAGGGCCCAAGACTCCTCCATAGGGTCCCAGGACCACTTCATAGCCTTGATATGGGGGTGCTCAGGCACTCCTGCAGAGCCACGTCCCCCCAGCCCCTGGTGGTGTGGGGAGGGTCAGGCACCCCCACAGCACCTGAGGGAGAAGTCAGACACCCCCAAAACCCCTTCAGTGGGGGTCAAGTGCCCCTGGAAGGCCCACGGGATGGGGTCAGATGCCCCCCGACCCCCCCCCGGGGGTGTCAGGCACTGAGGAAGAGCCGCTGGTACCACTTGTTCATCTGCTCGAGGAAGATGAAGGTGAGCACGGTGTGGGGGCCCAGGCGGGCGTAGTAGGGGGTGAAGCCCTTCCAGAGGCTGAAGAAGCCCTCGTAGCGCACCACCTTCAGCAGCACGTCCTGCAGGAGGGGCAGAGTGTCGGGGGAGCCCCCCCAATATAATAGGGGAGCCCCCCAAAAAAATAATCCAGGGATGCTCTTCCATAGGAAGGATGGGAAACTTCCTTGGAATAACATGGACACTGTCAAAATGATGGGGAATCCTCCCAAATTATGAGAAACCTTCCAAAAATGACAAGGATTGCCCCCCCAAAATTACAGGGATTTCCCCTAGAAAATAATGGGGAAACTTCCCAGAATGCCAGGGGAGCTCACAGAATTATGGGCATCTCCTCAAAATGACCTGAATTTCTCCCCCCACCTCCAATGACAGGGAAAACACACGCAAAATGGTGTGGAACCCCCTCGGTTGTGAAAGGGAATTTCCAAAATGGTAGAGGAGCCCCTCCCAAATCAAAGGGGGCTTAAAGAAGCCCCCCCTAAATTAAAGGGGGGTCCCAAATGGTGCCACCCTCACTCACCAGCCCGTTGCGGTACTCGGGTTTCCCATCTATTGTCCTCATGTTCTGGATCCTGTTGGGCAGAATTTGGGAGTTAAACAGGAGGTTTTTGGGGTGTCCTACCTGTGGTTATCTAATGGGGAGCAAGGGACCCCCCCAGCAATGCACCCACCGGGTCTTGACGATGTCCACGGGCATGGAGGCGGCCGTGGTCACCAGCCCGCTGATCATGCTGGCGCAGAAGTGGCACAGGATGTCGTCACGGAAATGCCCTGGGGGCACCCCAAAACATCAAAGAGGAACGGTGGGGAGGGGAGGAGAGTGCAGTGGGATTTAGGGTTCCCCCACATTCAGACCCTCCCCCTGAACTCACCGGAGTCCAGCAGGAATTGTTTGGATTGGGAGTAGGAGGCGAGCTGGGCGGCGTTGACCACCACGGCACGGGCCATGGTGGGGATGCAGCCCTGGGGGAAAAGGATGTGTGGGTAAGCAGTGCCCCCAGACCCCCCACCTCCCCCCACAGACCATTATCTGCTCCCTCACCACAGTGGGGACACAGCCCTAGGGAAAAATGGGGTGTTTGGGTAAGCTGCGCACCCCCAGACCTCCCACATCAGGCCACAGACCCCCTCAGCACAGTGGGGACACAGCCCTGGGGTGGCACATGGCATTTTGGGGGATCCAATCCCCCTCCCCAGAGCATGGGGACACAGCACTGGAGGACAAAAGCGTGTTTAGGTGAGTCCTGTGCACCCCCAGACCCCACCACAGACCCCCCCCTGCATTCCCACTTTCTCCCTAGACCATGATCTCCCCCCTCACCACAGTGGGGTACAGCCCTGGGATGGCACGTGGCACTTTGGTAGACCCCAATGCCCCTCCCCAGAGCATGGGGACGCCCCCAGCATCCCCGGGGAGGCAGCAGGGGGGTCCTGGCAGGGGTCCCACAGCCCCCACGTACTCTCCACAGAGTGAGCACCCCCCTCCTCCCTCGCCATCCTCACGAGGGCGTCGAACACGTTGTGGTACCCACGGCGCTCGCCGGGGGGTAGCCTGGGATTCGGGGCAAAAAAAGGCGATTTTGGTCAAAAAAGCAGACTCAGGGGGCTGCAGGTATGTTCAGGAGGGCTGGGGGCTTACCTGCCATCAGCTGTCATGCGGATGAGCGCCACCTCAGCTGGGGTCCCCACGAAAGCCCCCGCAGCCCCCGCGGTCATGCCCATGGCTGCCTTGGCCAGGAAGGGAGGGGGGGTCCCGTCAGCTCCCCCAAAACGCTCCAGGAGGACGCTGTAGATGCCCAGGCGGGTGGTGGTGTAGGTGGCCTGGCGTAGCAGCCCCGCTGACAGCCTGGGGGGCACACAGGGAATGGCAGGAGTCCCAAAAATGGGGAGAGAGGGGAGCAGGAAAGAGCTCGAGGCTGGCAGGTGCTTGGGGTTTTGAGGTTTTGGGGGGGGGGCTGTATCCCATGGAGGTGATCAGCAACCCCCTGCAGCATGGGAGTGAGTCCCAGGGGGTCTGAGGGTTCAGAGGTGGTCTGGGGGGGCCCATACCCGGTGTAGATGCCCCTCAGCCCCTCGTGGCGCAGAATGGAGCCCAGGGCGTGCAGGGATGTCCGGTACTCCCGGCCCTTGGCCCCGGCCCCGCTCAGCTGCATCCGGTTCTTCACCAGGTCCAGGGGCTGCACGAACACCGTGGCCCCCATCCTGAAGGAAAAGGGGGTTAGGTAGGGCCCCAAAAATTACTCACAGCCCCCCAAAACCCACCCACGGTCCTCTCGGGTGAAACCCAGGGGGACGAGAAAGCCTGAAGGAGTTTTGGGGATCTATGAAGGAGATTTGAGGGGAGCTGGATGGAATTTCGGGGGCTTTGAAAAGGTTCCGTGGATTTTAATTGATTTTGGAGGAGGGCTGATTAGTGATGGGAGGGTTGGGTCAGTCTGAAGGGGGTCTGGGGAGCACTCGAGGGGCACAGGAGGAATTTGGGGGAGGCTCTGGGGGGCAGCGATGGGACGTTAAAGGGTTGGGGGGAGCTGAGGGGTTAGGAGTGGCACAGAAGAGATTTGGGGGAGGATCGGGGGGGGTCTAAAGAGGGTTTGGGGAGCACTCGAGGGGCACAGAAGGGATTGGGGGGAGGCTCCGGGGGGCAGTGATGGGAAGTTAAAGGTCTGGGGTGAGCTGAGGGATTACGAGGGGCACCGGGGGTGCTTTAGGGGCGCTCTGAAGGCTCTGGTAGGGGGGTTCTCGGTTTGGGAGTGCGGTATCCCGAATTTGGGGGAGATGAGGGGGATATAGGAGGGGGCTCTCACCCGGCCAGGCCGCCGAAGAGAAACTTGACGGATTTTGGGGAGGTCTTGGGCCTCTCAGCCGCCGGTACCGCCGCCATCTCGGCCGGGCCGTGGTACCGGGTGGGTCGCGGGGTCCGGTCCCGGGGGGGTTGCGGGGTCCGGTCCCGGGGGGTCTCGGGGTCCGGTCCCGGGGAGGTTTCGGGGTCCGGTCCCGGGTCCGGCACCGGCGGCGCCCCAAGGTGACTCGGGGGGGCGCGGCGCCAGTGCGCCTGCGCGGGGCGCGTGCGCGCCGGCCGGGGCGGGGGGCCCCGCGCAGGGAGCGCGGCTGGGCGGGAAGCTCCGCCTCCAAAGGGGGGGGCGTGTTCCGCGCTCTCGCCTCTCATTGGTGAAGCGCGTTTAGGCGGGGAGTTCTTCGGTAAGCGAGGGGATTGGCTGGGGCGAAGTAGCCCCGCCCTTCTCTCGCGAGAGTTCGCCATCTCGAGGGGGCTGAGGAGAGCCGGCGGCGGCGGGAGGGGGCGGCGGCCGGCGCCTGGCGCCTCACGAACTCGGTCCCGCCGCTGCTCTGCGCCCTGGGGCGATGCCTGTCCCGTGCTCTTCCAGCCGGTGAGTGCTGGGTGGGGGGTACTGGTGCGCGCTGGGCGATATTGGAAGCGTTTGGGACACTGGAGGGCGCTGTCAGGTACTGGAAGGCTCTGAGGCTTTGAGGGGAAGCGCTTGGTACGCTGGGGATCGCTGGGAGGCGCTTTGAGCGCACTGGGGGTCACTGGGAGGCACTTTGGGGTCACTGGGAAGCACTATGGGGTCACTGTGGGGCAGTGAAGGATGTCCGGCTGTACTGGGGGCAATCTTGCGTGGCACCGGGGTCACTCCGAGTCCCCCTACTCATGCTGGCATATCCCGCTGACCTCTACTGCTGGTTCTAACTGGGAGTCACTGGTGAGGTACTGGGTACTGCACACCACCCCCTCCCCAGCCCTTCCATTCTCCTCTAGCCTCCCCAGTTTCGGGGTACCCCTGAGGTGTTGGGGACACCAGGGGGCACACGGTGGCAGGGATGACACAGGTGACAACATCCTACAGGTGTCACAGGTGACAGAATCACCTGGATATGGTGTGGGAGGGGGGGCAAGGACACTGTCCTTCAGGGTGGACAAGAGGGGGACAAGGACACTGTCCTGCAGGATGCAGGGGTGCAATGGCTCCACACTGATGGGGTGACGGTGTGCCCCCACCTCACAGCCATGGGGGTCACCTCACAGCAAGGTCAAAGGCACGGTGGGGACTCCCACACCTGGGTGAGGGGACAGGACAGTCCCACAGCCCAATCTGATACCCCAAATCTGCCTCAATTCCCGCCGTGGAGCAGCCGCGGGCCCTTCCCCCCTTCCCGTGAGTCACACGGGGGGGTGAGGGGGGGGAGCAGGAAGCGCCGGAGCCACCACATTGCCCTTATAAGGCCTCGACTCGACGGCACCGGGAGCTGCTTCCGCCTGCCCAGGTCCTGCTGCACATCTCCTGCTGTACCCCACAGAGCCTTCCCACACCCCCATCTCTGCCCCACCCTGCCTTCCTCACCCCACACCAGCCCGCCCATCTCCCCCTGCCCCCCCCATCCCCCACACCAACCCATCCCAGCACCTCCCCAACCCCCACCTCTGGCCCCCACCACCCCCTGAACACCTGGGGGGGGGCCCCTGTCCCACAACCTGCCAGGATACCTAGGGTTCCTCCCCCCCAGTTCCCCACAGCCCCTCTGTTCCCCCCCAATATGTCCCCACCCCCCTTGTTCCATCCTACAACCCCCATCTGACCTCCCCCCACTGCCAGCGCAGCCTGCCCCACAAGTGCAGCCCTCCAATAAAGCCTGTGTCCCCCAATAAAGCCTCTGCTCCCCAACTTTGCTTGCTGAGAGTCGGGGGGTGGCGGGGAGGGCCCCGTGGGGCGGCAGCTGCGGCGTCACCCCCACCCCAACCTGGACTTTGTCCCCCCAGGGCACGGCAGCACCCTTGGACCCGGGCAACCGCCCTGGGTGGAGGCAGAGCCGCACCCCAAAGCTCCCCAGCACCCCAAAAGCCCCGAGGCACAGGGATCCCCACAAGGGCACTTTATTGCTGCCGGCAGCGGGGATCATCGGGGGGCGGGCTGGGGGAGGGGGACGGGGTCCTGCTGGTCCCTGGCTGGTCCCTGGGGGTCCCTGGTGGGTCCCTGGGGGTCCCGGGGTGGCCCCCAGCCCCTCAGTACTGGCTGCGCCGCAGGTGGTTGGCCATCTCGTAGCATTTCTTGTTGACGCAGCCGCCGTGCACGCCCTCCTTGCCCATGGCCAGCACGATGGCTGCAGGGATGGAGACATGGTGGGGGTCACCACGAGGCTCCCCGTACCCCCAGACAGACAGACAGACAGGGGGGCACAAGGGCAGGGATGAAGGGATGGCAGGAGTTAGCACGGGGTAATTTGTGGGTCAAAGGGGAGGGGGACAGGAATGGGAAGCAGGGCAGGGGTGACACAGGTGACAGGGCAGGTGACGTGGCTGTGCAAGGGAGAGGACACAGGGTGGCACTGGGGGAGGGGGGAGCACCTGGGGAGTGACACCGGGTGACACTGTGATGGCATAAAACACATGGGAGGCTTGGGGTCATGGGGGGTGACAGGAACTGGTCAGGAGGTTACACGGGGTGACAGGGAGGTGACACAGGGTGACAGGGAGGTGGGGGCAGTACACAGGGTGACAGGGAGGTGGGCAGGGGGTGACACGGAGTGGCAGGGGGCAGTTGCAGGGGGCAATGGCAGGGGTGACATGGGGCAGTTTCAGGGGTGATACGGGGCAGTGGCAGGGGGCAGTTTCAGGGGTGACAAGGGGCAGTGGCAGGGGCGGCAGGGGGCAGTTTCAGGGGTGACAAGGGGCAGTTTCAGGGGTGACAGGGGCAGCAGCAGAGTCCCTCACTCTTGTTGGTGATGGCAGCCGTGATGTTGAAGGTGGGTGCTCCAGCAGCCCCCTTGGTGCGCAGGTCCATGCTGTGCTCGCCCTCCACCAGCAGCGAGTCGCGGATGACGGAGCAGCGCAGCCCCCCCAGCGTCAGCCCCTGCACCAGCAGTGGGCCCCGCTCGGGGCCCACCAGCGCCGCCACCTCCGCTGGCTGCGGGGACAGGCGTCAGGAACGGAGCCCAGACCCCCAGACCACCCGTGAGGGACTGCCATAGCTCCCCCAATCACAGCCTGTCACTTTGCAGGGGTGGGGACACGTCAAAGGGACCCCAGAGACCCACGCCCAGGGACCCCCAAAGCCTGGATGGGGTGGGGACAGGTCAGGGCACCCCAGAAACAGAGCACAGACCCCCAAACAGACCCGTGGGGAACCACCATAGCCTCCCCTGATCACGGCATGTCACTTTGCAGGGGTGGGGACAGGTCAGTGGAACCCTAAAAACCCAGGGGGCTCCCAAAGCCTGGATGGGGTGGGGACAGGTCAAGGGGACCCCAAAGACCCCCACCCAGGGACCCCCAAAGCCAATGCCCCGGGCAGGGCCCCTGCAGGGCGCTCGGCAAACAGGGACTCTCATAACTCTCACTCCATGACCATAAAAGGGACCCAGGTGTCCCGGGACCCCCATGACTCCCGCCAGAGACCCCATGAGAGAACCCTGATCCCCGAAGTGTCCCCACAAGAGGGCCCGAGCGCCCAGGGATCTCCCAAACCCCCCCAAACCCGGGACCCTCCAAGGCCAGCACTTCCACCCGCTGCTGCCACGGGGGAGAACAGGTCAGGAACCCCAAAAGCAGCCCCGCAGGAACCCCAGAAAGGAGCCCTCAAGCGAACCGCCCCGGGACCCCACACCGAACCCAGACACCCCCACCGGGACCCCGGGGACCCCAATGAGCCCCGACACGGTCCCTGGGGTGCCCCCCGATCCCGGGGACACCCGTAACTCCCACTTGACCCCAGACAAGGACCAGGGCGCCGGTAGCCCCCCCTTTCCTACCATGGGCTTCCCCAAATTTCTTCCCTCCCAGCACCCCCCCACCCCCCCAATTTCCTTGGGGGGAAGTGGGGAGGGGGGGAGGGGGGTGCGCGCGCGCCGCCCCTCCCCCACAGGAAGCCCCGGCCGCCCCTCCTCCACCGGGAAGTGGCCGCATTCCGCGCATTTTTAGAGGGTTTTTAAGTGGGGAGGGGTTCCTCCACATCCCCACGTCCCCCTCCACGAGAGCCCCGCCATCCACTCCCGGCAGCGCCATAAAAGCAACGGGAACCGGGGACGGAGGTCGCCGGAGCACGTGGTGCTCGCCCATCCCCCCCTTCCCCGCCCAACTGCGACCCCCGAAACGCTCGGAGCGCGGTTGAGGAGGGGGCTGCCCCTCCGCTGGGCCCCTCTCCGGCCTGCAGGGCCCCCCCGGTACCGGCTCTCCCCCGGTACCGGTACCGCGGGCAGCGCCCGAGCCCCCCCACCCCGCCCCGCCGCGCTCCACGCTGGCGCTTTTGCGTTTTTCTCCCTTTTTTGTCCTTCCCGGAGCCCGTCGCGGGAGGGGTGGGGGGGGTCAGCCCCGCCCCTCAGAGGCCGCCGGGTCCCCCGCCCTCCGCGCGCTTGGGCGGGAAACGCCTCAGCGCGCGGCACCCCCCCCCGGCCCCGCCGGCGCCCGCCGCTCACCGTGATATTGGCGAAGGTCTTGCCGGGGGCGGCGGCCCAGACGGCGGGGGTGTCGCGATAGCCGACGATAGCAGCATCCTGGCAGGTGCCGTCCGCCAGCAGCGTCTCCACGTAGGGCGCCCACCCGCTCATGGCGGCGGCGGGGCGGGCGGGCGGGGCGCGGGGGGCGGGGCCTTCCGCGGGGGGGCGGGGCTTTCGGCGGGGAAAGGGGCGGGCTTTTCGCTCGGCGCCTGCGCGGTGCAGTCGAGGCGCGGCGGCGGCGGAGGAGCAGCGGCGGCGCCGCGCGGCGGTTTTCATAGGGGCCGCAGGGGGCGGGGATAACGGGGGCGGGGCTAACGGGGGCGGAGCCAGGGGCCGGAACGTCCCGCGTGCCGCCGAGGGCGCGCGCCGATTTTGGGGGGGATGGGGGGGCTTTTTATCGCGACCCTCCCCTGACTATCGCGACATCTCCCGCCCATTGCGGTCCTCCGCGATGGCCTGGCCCTTGCCGTTACCGCGATCCCGGCGCTCCCGTTCGCCGCGATCCCTTCCCTCGCTGCGCCCGCCGCCCCCCTCAATCCAAACCCCTCCTATTCTGCATCCCGCGATTATCACGATACATCGAAATTCGAACACCCCCTCAGTATCCCGGCGCTCGCTTCCGTTAATCAGATCCCTCCCATTATCGCGACCCCCACCCTTTATTGTGCCCCCTCTTCCCTGTTATTCCGACCCCCTTCCCCGCTATCGCGACACCCCCACGGGTATCGTGACCCCCCCAGACTGATAACGAATCCCTCGTTATTGCGCCTCCTCCCTGTATATCGCGATTCCCGGTTATTCCGGGATACACACACGCCCTTATCGCGACACCGCGCCCCGCTCTGGGCCCCTCGCGGGGGTCGCTGGGGGGGTCGCGACAGCTCGGTGTGAGTCGGGGGGCGCGGGACCCCCCCCCCCCCCCCGTCCCCCCGCGGGGCTCGGTTTGAGTCAGACCCAGGCGGGACTTTCCGGGGGGAGGGGCAGCGGTTTCACTTCCTGCCCCGGGGTGGGGGAGGGGCTCGGCGGTTGAAGACGGGGAAAGGGGCTGGGGGGGAAACCGAGGAGTTCAGGATCATCTCCCCCCGAGGGGGGCCGAGGGTACCGAGACCCCCAGAACGGGGCTGGAGGGTGGGGGGGGTCGAGGCCTCGTGGGGTGCCCCTTCCCCCCCCCCCCAATAAAAGGACCGGCCCCGCCCCCCCCCCGCAAGAACTTCCCCGGGAAGTGGTCAAAGCCACCGCCCCTCCCCCACGCTGTGGGGCCCATGGGGCTGAGCTCCCCCCTCCCCCACCCCGGGACTCCTTAGGGGCTGAGCTCCCCCCCCAAAGGACCTTTTGCACCCCCAAAATCGCGTCCCCCCCAGCTCGCCCCCTCCCCTTCTGGCGGCTCCTGTTCCCCCTTGCGCCTTCGGGCGGCGCTGCAGCCCCCCCGGCTGGGGGTCGCGTTATAGCGACCTTTGAGGGGGGCTAAAAACAGTCCCAGACCCGGGGGGGATACCTGGGGACCCCCTCAAGTGGCCCCGCCCCTTTTCTCCCTCCCCCGGCGCGGGCTGAATGTGACCCCGGTCCCTCCGGAGAGGGGGAGGGGCGAAGGGATGGGGGGGAGGGGGCGGGGCAGGGGGGGCAGCGCAGGGTGGGAAGGGCCCGAACCCCCCCCGGGCCCCTCTGGGTGTCCCAGGAACTGGGGGGGGGGGGGGTCTGGGGTCGCTGAGGGTCCCTCGTGGGATGCGGGGGGGAGGGGTTGGGGTCAGCTCAGGGCACTGGACATGGTGGGGTTCTCCTCGTTTTTGGGGGCGGCCTGTGGCGTCCAGGGTTGGGCTGGGACCCCCAGGACTTTGGCCTTGACCCCGGGGCCCCCCAGATCCACCCAGGAGACCCCGGATTCCCACGGGAATCACAGATTTGTTCACAGCTGAGGGGCAGAGGTTGTGCTGGGGTGAGGGGGGGTCCTGGAGGTGCACTGGGGTTGTGGTGACACACTCAGGAGTGCTGGGGACATGGAGCGCCCCAGGGCAGGGGGTGACGGGGTTTTGGGGCCCCATCACGAATTTCTGGTAATTGCAGAAAAGTCAGTGGGGGAAGGGTGGGAAAGGACAGGAGGTGGAGGGGGGGGGCACTGGGGTCCCTCTGCCTGTGGAGGGAGAGGAATTTGGAAGGGCAGTCTTGGGGCCTGGATGCCCCTGGACCCTTGGCCAAGGTGCATCCATGTATGGAGGGATTTGGGGTCTCTGGAGGGATTTGGGGCCTGGACACCCCAGGGATGGATCTGGGAGGCAGGAGAGTGACACTGAGGAGGACCAGGAGGCACTGCAGGGCACTGGGATGGAACTGGGAGGGCCTCTGATGGGACTGGGAGGCACTGTTGGCACTGGGGGGCCAAGTTGGGAGGGCACAAAACTCCCCAAGGCCAAGTTGGGGGGGGCACAAAATGCCCAAAACCAGGTTGGGGGGCACAAAATCCCCCAAGGCCAGGAAGGAGGGGGAAGGGCATCCTGGCCCCCCCACCAAACGGCTCCCCCCACCCCAAAAACCTCTGTAAAGTACCAGGAGCTCCTGACCCGTGTTTTTTTTTGGGGAGTGGGATGCACACACACACAATCTGGGACGTGGGGGCGCCCCCCTCCCCAAAACTGCCCCCCCAAAAGAGATTTGCAGACATGGGGGTGCCCCCCTCCCCAAAAGAGCCCCCCCAAAGACCACGGGCACCATGAGAGGAGAACGAGGCTCTTTATCACCCCCTCTGCGTGCCCCATCCCCCTCCCCCCACTGTTAAATACCCCTGGGAGGGGGTCACCCCCCCCACCCCTCCCCCCATCACACACAGGGCCCCCCCGCGGCCCCTCCGGCCCCCCCCTCGTCCTCCGCCTGCCGCAGGCGCTTCTTGGCCCGGATCTCGTTCATGGCCTCCTCGATGGAGCGTGTGTCCCTCTTGTTGGCCACGGGCACTGGGGGCACGGGAGACACCCTCAGCGACCCCCAGACCCCCCAGGACAGCCCAGGTGTTTGGGGAAGGGATGCAGACACCCAGGACCCCCCCAGAGACCCCCCCAGAGACCCCCAGGACCTCCATGGGACCCCGCATGTTGGCCACGGGCACTGGGGGCACGGGAGACACCCTCAGCAACCCCCAGACCCCCCAGGACAGGCCAGGTGTTTGGGGAAGGGACGCAGACACCCAGGACCCCCCCAAGCCCCCAGAGACCCCCAGGACCTCCATGGGACCCCGCTTGTTGCACGGGCACTGGGGGCACGGGAGACACCCTCAGCGACCCCCAGACTCCCCAGGACAGCCCAGGCTGCCCAAACTCTCCCTGGGTACCCCCAGGATGCCCCAAGAGACCCCCAGCGGCTCCATGGGATCCCACTTGTTGGCCACGGGCACTGGGGGGATGGGAGGGACCCTCAGTGACGCCCCAACCCCCCCAGGCGGCCCAAGCCCCCCAGGACCCCCCAAGCCCCCCGGATACCCCCAGGAGCCCCCCCAGACCCCCCACTCACCACAGCCGTAGGCCTTGTTGGCCTCCATGGTGCGGGCAGCGGCCTTGGCGGCCTCGCAGCCAATAAGGTGCCGGTATTTGTCCTTGTAATCATTGGGGGGGCCCGGGGGGGCGGGGCCAGACTCGAGCTCCGCCTCCTCCTGCTGTGCCGCCAGCTCCTGCAGGTGAGCAGTCAGCAACAAGCCCCGCCCACCAGGGCCACACCCACCGAGCCCACACCACACCCAGGTAAGCCCTTCCGCCATCATACCTACATGCCCCGCCCACCTGGCCACGCCCTGATGAGCCCTACCCATATCCCAGTTAAACCTTACCCACACTAAGCCCCGCCTACCCACCGAGCCCATGCCACACCCAGGTATGCCCTCCCTCCATCACACATACATGCCCCACCCATGTGGCCACGCCCTGCTAAGCCCCACCCATATCCCAGTTAAACCCCACCCATATCCCAGTTAAACCCCACCCACTCTAAGCCCCACCTACCCGGAGGCGGCGCCGTTCCTCGGCACGGGCCGGGTCCCACTCCTCCCCCCGCCGGTACGCCTCCAGCTCCTCATCCGAGGGTGCGAACTCCTGGGCGGGATGGGGACAGCCAGGAGGGGACAGCGGGGTCACCCTGGGCCCTGTCACCCCCCCAGCCTCCAGGGGACAGCCAGCACCCAGGAGGGGACAGCGGTGTCTCCCCAGGCTCTGTAACCCCCCCAGCACACCCCCCACCGTCCCCCACCTTCTTGAACACCATCACATAGCGGCTGTCCTCGTCGTCCCCGAAGGAGAACGATGTCAGCCCAGCCACCTCGGCCACGTCGTGCCTGGGGGCACAACAGGGAGCTGCTGACACTGGGGGGCCCCGGGGGGATCCCCACGGGGGTCCCTGCCCTCCCAGGGGGGCCCCCAGCTGCCCCAGTACACCCTCAGTTTTCCCCAGTGCTACCACTGGGACACCTCCAGTGTCCTCAGTGCCCTCCCAGTGCCCCCAGTACCACCCCAGTGCCCTCCCACTACTCCCTCAGTCCCCTCCCAGTTCCCTCAGTGCCCTCCCAGTACCTCCAGTGGCCCCCAGTATCACCTCAGTATGCCCCCAGTACCCCCGCAGTGCCCTCCCAGTTTCCCAGGGCTCACAGGATGCTCCTCTCGATCTTGCTCATGGGCTGGAAGCGGCGCCGGGGCTCCCCCGTGGCCTGGATGAACTGGGACACCTCCTGCTCCATCTGGGGACAGATGGACAGGCTGGGGGGGACAGACGGACAGGGCAGGGGAGCCCGGGGTTCGTAGGGGAGAACCCAAAACGCCCCAGCAATGCACAAGCCCCCCCACTCACCCTCTTCCTGAACTCAACCTTCTGGCGCTTCTCCTGCTCCTGCAGCTTCTTCATGCGAGCAGCTTGTTCTGGGGGGGACAGGGCAGGTCACGGAGAGGGGAACCCCAAAAACACCTCAGGGGACCCCCAAAATCTCCGGGGACCCCAAAAAAACTCTCGGGGGATGGAGGGGGTGGGGCCTGCGCCCTCTGACCAGGGCAGGGGCGTGGCCTGCGGTGGGCGTAACCTGCGACCAACAGCGCCACACGGGGGACATGGCGGGGGCGTGGCCAGACGGCCCCCGCTGTCAATCAGCACAGGGGGCGGGGCCTCGCCTGTGGGCGGGCGCCGGGGGTCGGGGGGGTTCTGAGGGCGAAGGGCCGGGACGCGCCGCTCCCCGCCCGGGGCCGCTGCCCCGGAGCCTCCGCGCCCTCCCCGGCCCTGCTGACCCCGCGCCCGGCGCCGCGTCTCGCCGTCGGCCGCGGCGGGCGGCCGCTCCATGGAGTTGAGGATGGAGCCCAGCAAGTCCAGCTCCGCCATCTTGCGACGGGGCGATGCGTGACGCCGCCGCCGCACGCGGGACACGTCCCCGACGTCTGCCTGCGTCATCACGTCCGGGGACGTAGGAGGGGCCTGGGACGGAGCGGGGAATGGGCGTGGCACGCCAGGGGACGTGGCCCGGCCTAGGAGGCGTGATCTGGCCCAGAGGGCGTGGCCTGCCCTTAAAGGGCCCGTACCTCCAGCTCTGCAGGGTCTTCCCGCGCCCCCAGCGATGTCCCCCCATTGTCCCCTCTCCGCCATGTCCCCCCAGCGATCTCCCCTCCCTCCCTCCTTCCCTTCCCCATGTCCCCCCCAGTGCCCCCTCCCCACCCACAAACACAAACTCACCGCATTTTCCATTCCCGCTTCCTCATTGTTTTTTAATGGAACTTTGTACAAAGAGCCCCCACGGGGCGGGGGGGGGCAGGGGGGGCATGCGGAGGAGGGGCGGGGGGCGATGGGGAGGGGGTGCGGGGCAGCCCTGCCCCCTTCTGCCCCTCCCCACGGGGACAGCCGGACACACAGACACGCCTGGGGGGAATGGACAGCGAGGGGAGCTCCCCCCGTGCCTGGGACCCCCATGGGGGGAGCATTGAGGGTCCCCCAACGTCTGCGACCCCTGTGGGGGGAGCACTGAGGGTCCCCCCGTGCCTGGGACCCCCGTGGAGGGGTCACTGAGGGTCCCCCAACCCCGTGGGGGGGTCACGAGGCCAGGCCCCGTGTCTGTAAACTCTCCACATCCTTGTTCTGCTTCAGCTCCTCCATCCTGGCCCAGGGACACACAAATTTGGGGTGGGGTCAGGCTTTTTTGGGACTCTGCACCCACGGTACCACCTGTCCCCAAACCCCTGGGAACACCTTTCCCCTGTCCCCACCCATCCTGTGTGACACCTCACCGTGTCCCTCCCTGTCCCCTCCCTGCTGTCTCCTCCCTGTCCCTGTACCGGTGGCGGCAGCGCCGCAGGAACCTCATGATCTTCCTCGCTGCCTGGTCCTGCTTGAGGGTGAGGAAGGTGCTCCTGGGGGGGACAGAGGGGGCAGGTGAGCCCCCTGTGCCCCCTGCCCCGCACCCCCCGGGTGCCCCCCGCCCATACCGGTGCTGGCGGAGGCTGCGGAAGCGCTGCTGGATCAGCACGGCCGCCCGCCGGCGGCGCTGGAAGCGCTTCTGCTCCGCGTAGCTGCGGAACTTGCTCTGGATCAGGATGGCGGCCTGCGTCATCCGCTGGAACAGCGCGAACTGCAAGGGACACCTGTGTCACCTCAATGTCACAGCACCCTCAAACAGGGAGCCCAGTGTCACCCCGGTGTCCCAGCACCCCTGCGTCATCCGCTGGAACAGCGCGAACTGCAAGGGACACCAGGGTCACCTCAGTGTCACCACAGTGTCCCAGCACCCCTGCGTCAAAAACACCTGGGTGACTCCTAACACCCAAAACGGCCCCAAACAAACATCTGGGTGACCCCAACACAAAACAGCCCCAAACATCTGGGTGACCCCAACACTGCCCCCGTTACCTTCAGAGCGATCCAGGTCAGCTTGTGGGGCAGAGACAGAGGGTTAGGGGGGTTCTGGGTGGTCCCTGGGGGTCTGGGGTCCCCGGGGCTCTCGGGGGTGCCTGGCAGGGGTCCCGGGGGTTTTGGGGTCCCCCACACCCCAGTACCTGTTTGTACTTGCGGTAGCAGCGCTGGATGACGGCGGCCGCCAGCTCCTGCTGCTCCTTCAGCCTCCGGCCCTGGGGAGCCAGCGGGGGTTTGGGGGGTCAGCGGGGCTGGGGAGCCCCCGGGGGGAGCCCCCAGTGGGATCCAGGGGGGATTTGGGGTGCAGGGGAGCCCCTGGAGGGCCCTGGGAGGGTTTTGGGGTGCAGGGAGGGAACGCCCACTGGGGTTTTGGGGTGCAGGGGAGCCCCGGGGGGGGGTCCCAGGGTAGATTTTGGGGTTCAGGGGTGAGCACCCACCCGGTACTTGCGGAAGGCCCCCTGGACGAGCCGTGCGGCCTCGTAGAGCTCGTGCTGCTCCTGGTCACTGAGGGTCAGCAGGGCCACGGCCCCCCCCTCGCCGCGAGCCCCCCCGGAGGCATTCAGGAACTCGGCCCAGCCCGCCGCCGAGGGGGGGGGCGGCCGCTCGGGGACCCCCGGGGACCCCCGCGAGGCCACCTCCGCCCTGGGGGGGACACACGCACAGGAGGGTCAGGGGGACGGGGGGGGGGACACAGCCAGGAGTGTCACCAAATGTCCCCAGGGTGGCCCAGGGGAACTCTGGGATGTGGAGGATGTGGGAGACCCCCCCATGGAGACACTGGAGTACCACAGGACCCTCCCAAGGGGGTCCCTGTGACCCCCCCCCAGGGAGCTGAGGGTGCCCCCCTGGAACCCCGGGGTACCTGTGCCCAGGTGTGGGGGGCCGGTCCACGCTCTCCAGGTACGTGGCCAGCCAGGCCATGGCAGCGCCCAGCCCCGCTGTCCCCGCTGTGCCTGGTGTCCCCGGGGTCCCTCCCGGCGCTCCCAGTGCTCCCAGTGCCCCCGGGGGCCCCCCTGGCGCCTCCTGCTTGATGCGTTCGGGGGTGGCCTCGATGATCTGGCGGGCCAGGGTCACCACCTCGGCCTGGGGACAAAGGACAAGGGGTGTCCCCACCTCGGCCTGGGGACACAGGGGGACATCGGGGGTCTGCACCAGGGGTGTCCCCAGCCCCTGTCCCCCCCTTTACCTGCAGGGCGTCGGAGGGCGGGGCCAGGGCGTCCTCAGGGGGGCTGGGGGGCACTGCCACCCCCCAGGTGTCATCCTCGGGGGGCCCAGAGGGGCCGGGGGGCAGCGGGACGGAGCCGGGACCCTCGGAGAGCCCCGAGGGGGACGAGAGGCTGCTGGCTGTGCTCAGCCCTGGGGACACGGGGGGTTAGTGATGGGGGGACACACCCCGAGGGCACATGGGGACATGGGGGACATGGCAGGAGGACAGGGGACACCATGGGGGCATTCCAGGGACACAAAGATGCTGGAGGAGGACAGGGAACATCAGGGGACATGGGGAGGACACAGGGGCAAAAGGCTGGAGGGGACCAGTGATGCCCTGGGAGCACACAAAAGGGGACAGGGGGAGGATAGGGTGACAGTGACAGTGAGGGGACAGTGACCACACCAGGGGGGTGGAGACCAGGGACAGGACATAGTGACCATAGTGACACCAAGACAGAGCGCCAGAGGACAGGGAGGACACAAGGGGCCATACCTGTGTCGGGGCTGGCGGACAGCGGGGAGGGGACGCGCAGGCCGGGCAGGTGGCAGCGAGGGGACACGGGTGACACCTGCAGCTCCTCCAGGCGGGTGACAAGGGCCAGGTGGCCGCGGGCACGGGCCAGGGCCAGGGGCAGCCGGCCCAGGGTGTCGGGGACGGCCAGCGCCCGCCGGTCCCAGCGGCACAGCCGCTCCGCCGCCTCCCGGTGCCCCAGGGCGCACGCCCACATCTGGGGACAACGAGGGGACAGCGGTGTCCCCAGGGTGTCACTTGTGTCCAGGTGCCACCCCTGGTATCCCCCAGCCCTGCCTGAGACACCACGCTGTGCCCCATGCCCTTGGGATGCACTGCCAGCCCTGCCACAGTGTCACCACCACAGTGTTTCCTATGTCCCCAGTGTCCCCAGTGTCCCCTCACCAGGGGGGTGCAGGAGAAATGGTCCACGTTGAGGGGGTCGATCTCCTGCTCCAGCTCCAGGCTCTCAGCTGCCAGCGCCCTGCAGGGACACGAGGGGTCACAGGCTGGGGAGGGCCACCTCTGCTTGGGGACGCTGCTTGGGGGGACACCCATTGCGGTCCCCAGGTGAGGTCCCCAGGTGTCCCCAGGCATCCCTGCTCACCGCCAGCGCCGCAGAGCCTCCACCAGGCTGGCGTAGCCCTGGGCAGCCGCCAGGTGCAGCAGAGTCATCCCACGGAACGTCACCCCGTGTGCCAGCAGCGAGGTCCCCGCTGTGCCTGGCGCTGTCCCTGGTGTCCCCGACCAGCCCGGCCGCGCCATCATGGCCTCGCAGACGGCCACCACCCGCGCCTCGAAGGACGAGCCCGGCCCCTGGGGACACCAGGGAATGTCAGGGGACACGGAGGACACAGTGTGGACATCAGGGAATGTCAGGGGACACGGAGGACACAGTGTGCACATCAGGGAATGTCAGGGGACACAGGGACCTTGGTGCCGGGGTGGCCTCACCTGCTCGGGGGGGGTCTCGGAAGGAGCCCCCCGTGGGGGGGGAAGGGGCGCGGGGGGGGGCAGGGCCCCCAAACGCATCTCCAGCTGCTCCAGGCGCTCCAGGATGGACAGACGGAACTGGGCCTCTGCAGAGGGGGGGCCCAAGGGTGAGGGGGGCACCCTGACCCTCTTTGAGCCCCCCAAACGCCCCGGCCCCAAAGAGTGTTACTCCATGGAGAGAAGGATGGGTTTGGGGCCACCACAACAGGACCCCAAAATGAACGCAGGTGTTTGGGTGCTCTCCCTGGGGGGGTTTGTCCTGTTCTGGGGGGGTCCCGGGGGTCCCCACTCACCGTCCAGCGCCAGCCAGTCCAGCTGTGCCCCGGGGGCCGCCCCCCGTGCCCGGTACTCGAATGGGGCCGCAGCCGAGAGCAGCCGGGGGGGACAGGCCACGCGCAGAGCAGCCACGCCGGCCTCGTGGGCTGCAGGACAGACACACAGACACGGAGAGGAGGGGTCAGAGCACCGACAGACCCGCGCGGGGAGGGGATTTGGGGTGGGGGGCACTCACGGGGGCAGTAGCAGCGCAGCACGCCCGGCTGGACCAGCGCGGCGGGCACCGAGGTGCGGTCGAACAGACACGAGTAGGAGGCACCGGGGTCCCCCCAGGGCCCCGTGATCAGCACCTTGACCCCGCCCTGGGGGGGACACACCGGGAGGGTCACCGGGGGGGGTCACCGGGGGGGGTCACCCGGGGAGAACACCCCCTCCCCAAATCGCTCACCTCGGGGTATGACCACTCCGGGGAGAAATCGGTGATGGCCACGGCGGGGGGGGGGTCGCTGGGGGGGCCCGAGGGGGAGGAGGGGAGCTGGTGGTGGGGGGGGGCGTGGGGGGGGTCGCGCAGGGT